ACAAGTACAGAGACTTAAGATTTATCTGTCTCTGTGGCCTCATCTCCATAATACTTTGGGAATTAATAATAGACCTTTTGGTAAACTGTCTATAAATGGCACCCCATGAGCCTCACCCTCAAATAAGGGGGAGTTCATGCCCAAGTGTAACTCCTGCTGCCCTCGAGTGTGGGTAGACCTAGTGACTTGCTTTAATTAATAGACTATGGCAAAAGTGACAGGACGTCACTTCTAAAATTAGGTTGCAGAAAGAAAGACTAAGATTTCCATCTTGATTGTCATCTTTTGTGCTCTCTCTCTCCCTTTCTCTTTTTCAATCTGAGTACTTGCTCTAGGGGAGCAAGGTGCCATGTTTTAAGTAGCCTTGTGAGTGGCCCAACTGACAAGGAACTAATTTCTGACTAATAACTAGCAGGGACCTAAGGCCTGCCAACAGAAATGTGATGAGTTGGAAATGGATACTCTGAGGCCTGCCATATGAGTGAGTTTCCAATTTAACCTTGCGGTAACTGCAGTCCCAATCAAGACGCTGACTGCAGTCTCATGAGAGACCCCCAGGCCAGAAGATCTACTGCACACCCAGATTCCTGACACACAGAAACTGTGAAATATGAAATGTTTGTTGTTTTAAGCTGCTAAATTTGGGGGTAATTTGTCATAACGCAATAGACAACTAGTACAACACTCAAGCAACAAAGAAAACGGTCAAACATTTTCACTATGTAAATCATGTCTACTGGGTAGCACATCTAACAGGACTTCAGCATGGCTCTCCTCTTGCTCGACCTAGACATTTCTAACATTCATAACACTTGAAAATCTGCGTTAGAGATAAGAAAGTTCCCATTTGGGGAAGGATCTGACACCTCAAACTAAACTGAAAAGAAGTAAGTCAATGGCAACATGGCAACTGGAAATTCCAAGTCCTCCATGTTATGAAGTCACAAATTGTCTGGTAAGAGAGGCCAGAAAGGGAAGTAAGTATATGCTAAAAGCAGTCCTTTCTGTTCTTGTATGAGTAATTCTTGCAGCTGGAGTTTCACTACAACCACAGGATTGTGGTACCACGGAGGTGGCCATTTTCAAATCTGGCCTGACATCAGAATATAATTCAAACTAGATGAACCTGGGACTTGGCCAAAATAAGTAGAATTTAAATAACTAGGGCCAATGAATAGCATCACTTTTCTGTGGGACCATATGACTACGATGTAAAGAAATAAAAGCCTTTGTTGTTTTAAAGGGCAGGGACAATTGGACATTTTGCAGCAGACAGTTACAAAATTTTCCACCCTTTGCTCACCAAAGATACCAGTTAGTGGCTTCGGGAGTTGGGTGTGGAAGATGTTTCTGGGAAAAGAAAATTAAATTGATCATGGACAGAATGTGAACCAATGTTACTATATTTCTCATAGAGCCTAAAACAGACTATTTAGCCCCCTACATTGTAAACTTACTTTTCTGATCTACACCCTTTTATAACATAGCTCTTTGAAATCATAGCATTTTATATCAGGCAAGGCATGGAAAGCTATGGCACCCCTCTTAAAAACAGCAAATTGCGATTTTCCAGAATAATTTTCAAGTGGGTTTTTAAATACTATCTTAAAAAATAAAACACTTTCCAATAAATTGGCCTTTGCTTCTCTTTTGTTTGTTTGTTTGTTTGTTTTGTTTTGGGGTTTTCTGCACTTGTCTGCCTGGAACAGAGCAAGAGGATCCCTTCTGTGATATTTTCCACCCGGTATAGATTTTCTGCATCTTATGAGTAGATTGTTTTAAAAATATTTCATTCGTCTTTTGAATTTTTTAAGGGCTCTCTTTTATCTTGCTAAATAATTATCCCTATTTACCTAACATCAGGGAGCTATCTGGGGCTATAATAAGAGGAGTAGAAGCTTATCAACTAAACTAGTTTTAGTTGTTATTTGAGACAGTATTTTATCCTGTCGATTTTCATTTTAGTTGATGACAGTGCTTGCAATTTCTCCCTCGATAAGCAAAGATGACTTAGATCAAGCACCTGATGAATAAGCATGAAAATTTGATTTAGAAAAGGAGGATATCCTGAAGCTCCCGGAGAGAAAAAAGGATTTTCAACCCCCCACCACACACACTTTAAATGACAAAGCAAAGCAGCAGCATTGTCTTGAAACAACATCTTTCAACACAGCATCAATGCTCCTCAATGTTCGGTAATAAGAATAATAATTTAGAAAGAAAAAGAGGAGCCCTTAAAAAATACAAGTAAGGAATGAAACATGTTTAAAGCAAATATTGTTGATCCTTCATATAACCTTAAGGCAGAAACCCCAAAAGAAATTTTAAAAATACGGTGGATGTGAGGGAGAAATGAATGCTTTGGAAGATAATGATGAGGACTCCTGTTGAACGGATGGAGAATGTGAGCGTCTGACTCCCTACATTGGCCTAAATAATGCAGTCCTCCAGAACCATAAACAGGAGGGAAAACGGCAATAATAAAATAAAATAAAATAAAATAAAATAAAATAAAATAAAATAAAATAACCTGCGAAGCAGAGAAAAAGAGTCCAAGTAAATTTCAGTAATAGAAAGTAAATAAAAGAAAAACAGAGGAAGCCAAAGTCTCCCATGGGAAGGAACCCAATTAATTGTCTTAGATTTCAGGATCTATTTTTTCTTGCTGGAGAAGAGGCTCACCGGGGGCAGCAGAGGCAGCAACTTCTGCAAACGCGAAACCTGATCAGAAATCCTTCAGGGCTCCAGCGCTTGGAACTGAGCTTGGCAGAAGGAAGAGATCGGCCAGGAATGACGGGTTTTTTTGTTTTTTGTTTTTTATTTTTTTTAAGTATAGGATTGTTGTGTGTGTGTGTGTGTGTGTGTGTGTGTGTGTGTGTGTGAGAGTCAGAGAGGAGCAGATTTTTCCTTTCTCAACATGTCACTTTCTTGCATGGGAATTTCTGATAGTCCTCCCTGTCAGGCGAGAGAAGGGAGAGGCGCCCCTACCCCAGCCCCCGGTAACTTCTGACCTCGCCCGGAGCAACAGAGAGCGCGCGCGAGCGCCCAATGCCTGGAGCAGGGAGAAGATTTCACCGGGAACAAAAGAACGCTTGCCAATCAGAAAACGCTACCGGAGAACAAGCATAACGTCTTTGTGTTTTGAAAACTTTTTAATTAAGAAATGCCCTGGTTTCTAAAACGCATTTAAACTTTTCTACCCAGATTTCAAATAGAGGATGAAATTATTGCTTCTGCACCGAAGATTGGACTCTCAATCTCCACACGCCGAACTAGAGAAAACCGCGCAATTGAAGACTCGCTTTAAATCGTAGAATATTCCTGGGCACTCGGTCTCAGGTTACTTTTATAACCATTCCCTCCACCCCCAACACTTAGTTTTCTTACAATCTCACTAAAGCTACACACCAGATCCCCATACTCTGGGCTGTACGTGCAGGCGGGGTGACCTGGGGCCGGGGTGCCCCGCGCCCGCCGCTCCCAGACGGTCTCCCCTAGGAGGGGTCTGTCCTTCCTCCCGCCTTAAGTCGTCCCCCTCCGCGGGACTCCGATTTCTCCTCGGACGCAGCCCCTCCTTTTTACAACCAGAAGTGTGGGTGAGAGGGGATTGCGGCCTCACGTGGTCTGTTTGGGTCTGGGGAGAGAAAAGCGATCCGCGAAGTCCACCCCTCTTTCGATCCATAATGCATCTTACATTTAGGATCAGGGTACCTAAAAGTCCCCGGCGAAACCCAGCATTTTCAGCCCAAGCAGGGCTAACGTGACTTCGGGTCACGTCTCTTTCAGCTCTGGCGCAGCGCTATTCTCAGCTCCCTGCAAAAGTCTATCCGGATGCTCCCTTCTGTTCAGGAATGTGTATTTTAGTGTACCCGGAAGAGGAACAAATCTTTCAAGCAAACTCTCTTTCTGGTGCGTGTACCCCACATCCCACACCCCCGAGCGGATTCAGGGTAAAAGTTTTTCTTAACTTTTCTCTCCCAGCCCCCTGCCCCTCCCCTCAGGAATCCGCCCAGAGCGCTGCAGACACCGCCTCTCAGGCTCTCTCACCCGCCCCTTCTGACTTTCACCCAATCAGGAGGCGGCCACACGAAAAACAAACGCTGCCATTGGGCCGCCTTGGAACTTGAGGGCCGCCTCCAAAGTGGTTTGTGAATGGGGGGAGGGGAGGGGGCGGGGCAGCCCGGAACCTTGCGAGCCCGACGCTTCTTCTGGCGAGTTGCGCGGCTCCGAGGCGTTACTCTGCGCTCCCTTCCCGCGGGCGGCGGCGGCGGCGGCGGGCGCCGGGACTCACGGGTCAGAGCTGCGCGGGGCTGGAGAAGCCAGGCCCAGGCCGCGGACACGGGGGCCACGCAGCTTCGGGCGCAGTGTAACTGGATTTCCAAAAAGAACTCGCTGGGCTCTTAGCTCCAAGGCGCCGATTGGACTCAGCGAGAATCAGCCGTTCGCCTGAAACTTGGGGCCGAGCTTTTGGAGCTGAAGAAGGAGCGGGGAGTGGAGAAGGTGGCGAAGTAGGAGGTGGCGGCGAGCGGAGCCTCGAGGCGAGGAGGCGGAGCAGCACCGCCAAGGCGGCGTCCTCGGCTAGCAGGCGGCGGCGCCGGGCTCTCGCCTGCCGGGGGCTGGACTTGGTGTGGGGGGCGCGCGCGTTCCTGTGCGCTGTTGTGAGTCGAGAGACTTGGGCAAACTTTGAAGGGTAACCGGAGACGCTTGTTGCTTCTCGCCGCAGAAAAAGCCGCACCGTTACGTCGCAGCAGGAGAAGGCGGCGTCCCCGGCCCAAGCAGACGAGTTTGGGCCCCTGGCAGCCGCGCGACTGCTGGGCGGAGGCGGCTG